GACTCCTTCCTTCCCCGATGAGCCTCGCAAAACTGTAGGTTGCTGGAACAGATTATGCTCCTCCTGAGGGATGGCAATTAAAGAGCCTCGTAATTGCTGCTTGCACAACCCCCCCGTTTGAAGCTGGGCCTAACGCCTTCCTTCCAGCAGGTTGGGCCCTCGGGGGTGTCAGCGAGGTCAGGGGCCCCCAGTTGGGCCCTCGGGGGTGTCGGCGAGGGCAGGGACCGCCGGCCGGCGAGCTGGTGCCGGCAGCCCTAAGCTGCGTGAAGGAGTCGGGAGGTTAAAAAGAAGGTTGGCAGCGGATTTTGTTTGCCCACCCCCATAGTTACTACGGGCCCGTGTATCAACCCAACAGCCCTCCCCAGTTCTGGCAGGACCCGGAGGGAAGGCTGGTCCCGGGGCGCGCTGGGCTGGTCAGCCGGTGCCCGCTTTGTGCTCCAAGCTCCGAGCGCGAAGCTGGGTTTTCCCACAGGGCTCTGTCAGACGCTGGAGGTGGGTTGATGCAGCCTGGAACTGCTCCCAGACCTTTGGATGCGCTGATTTTTCTGGTTCAGGGACAGAAATCCCAATGCCTGCCAATGCTGTTAAGTACCTACAGGGAAGTCTAGGACACGTCGGGAAAACCTGGGTTTGTGGATTCCCATTCCAAGAGCCCAGACGTCTCCTTTATCGGAAGTGTTGGAAAAGGATAGCCTACCCTATTGAGTCCCTTCGGCTGTTCAGACAGCATTCCTAACTCAGAACCGTACTGGAGGCGGGAAGCTGAGGAAGGAACTAGTTTTTCCCGCTGTGCTCTCCCAACGCTCCGCGATGCCGACGGCTGTACTTGCCACTGTCTGGCAGTTTGTTAGACTTTATGTATTCGACCGCGCGCACTTTATAGACCAAAGCCAAGGGGATGATGGGGTTTTTCCTGTGCTTCGGCTCTTCCTTATTGAGGAAGTTGAGCCGGCTGTGTGGTTCGATGGTCATCTCCAGTGTGGAGTGTTTCCCGTGGCGCTCGTACCCGCACCACTCAACCGTTTCATTAAGCGGATACAAAGGGTGGGACCAAGGAGCAGCAGCCAAGCGTTGCGGATCAACACCAAGTGGCAAACCCCGCGGAAGTTCTCAGCGGGGTGCGGAAGCGCCGCAGCCATCCCCACTGCCCTTTGGCGGGTGAGCTTCACGTGCAAATCGCCGGAGCAGAAGTCAGGAGGTCGAAACTCAGTCTGCTGGTGAAGTCAGCGCTCAGGCGGGGGCAGTTCCTACTTTGCAGAGCGCTGCGTGCCTACAGACCCAGGCTGGGGGGCCAGTCCCGCTGCCACCAAGGGCAAAACCAACCTGCGCTGCAGAATTTTGAAGCCCATGTACCAGGAGCTCCCAACAGCTCTTCTAACTTGCTGTCAGACAGGATTGAGGTTGTCTTAATTAAAAAAAACAATCAAGAGGCTTTTATAATTTAACGCTTTTATTAATGCAGTTTCAATTAGGCTGGAACCTGCCGTTTCTGAACAGGCCGCTGCGGGCTACTCATCCAGCTCCGTCGCAACGGAAGAGGTACCTCAGGTTCATCTGTGAGCGACTGACGCCACGTGCTGTGACTACTCAAAACACAGTGCTTCCATGACGGTTCAGACAGACTTACACACAGTAATTATGAAAAATAGAGTTTTTCCATACAATATTTTGCTTCTGCCAGCTACAAAATACGATAAAAGAAAAATAATTCATTTATTTCTCCAGCCCTAGGAATCTGCTTCTACTGCAACACGTGCATCACTCTCCGTGAACGCGGTGAGGGGGGAGAAAGGACTCCAAAACCACGCTGGAATACCACCCCGGCTCTCTGGGTGTATTACCTGTGGCTACAGTGTTGTCCCAGAGCCACAGCGAGGCCTGGGAATCTGGAGGATAAGAAAATCCCACTTCTGAACCACATGGCTGTGGGATTTGGAGTCCTGGAAGTTCATGCCATGCGAGTCAACCCAACTTGAAAATAAGGGAGAATCCTGCACTTCCCTCCCTCCCCGCCTCCAATCCTGTACGGGTCCTGAACTCATCTTCCTAGAGTGGTGGCAAAGCAGCATTTCCCTAACAACTACTGCAACGAGGTGCCTGGAAATCTGCACGGAGAGGAAGAGGCAACCCCGAGAACTGTGGAGCTAAACCGCCGAGTGTCACATTCCCTAAGCTTTAGGATACATCGGTTCTTGACCCAGGCACAGCCCCGTTTCCTTAGACTCACGCTTGGGTTTAACCTCGGGGGATTTAAATCAGCGCCTGAGGTAAGAGCTCTCGGTGCACCTTTTGTTTTGGTATAGTTCATGTGCTTTTGGATTGCGTATACAGTGTTTTGTGAGCTGCGGACTAGATCCACACTGCAGCGGGAACGGCTCATTCCGTGAAGCGCTCCCCCACCTGAGGAGGTGCGGCGAGGCTTCCCGCGCTGCGGAAGGCGCGGAGCTCCCTCCCAGCTCGCAGCTAAGCAGCTGTGGAAAGGGTCTGAGTGGGAAATACCAGGGTCTGAGTGGGAAAAGGATCATGCCCATGGATTCAAGGATCCTGTGGGAGAGTAGTTGCATAGTCCACTGAGGGGAACCGGGCGCCACCGATTCACGTACAGGAGCGGTGACGGGTCACAGCGGGTGCTGTGGCCCCAGTGCCTGTCTCTGCTTTGGTGACAGCATTGTCTTTTCCTACATGTGTTTAACTCCCCGCAACAAACGAAGCATCCACAGGTACTCCAGTTGGAGCGGTTAGGGCACTGGAAAACGAGAGTTTTTCCTACCAGCTGTGAGTGATAGTGCAACTTCACATGAAGTGGGAAAGGATTCCGTAAGCCGCTTGGCTGCTGGAGTTAGCGCTGTGCGTGCAGATCCCTTCCGCGGAAGCAGCTTCCGCTTCAACTATCACAAGTCGATAAAGCTGTTCTGTGCCTGCATTCAAACCACTCCAAGGCAGTCTCTCACCTGTGATGACAGCTAACTACGGGTCTTACCCAGAAGAGTACCTGAAAACACCCTGCAGACATGGCCTAGACCACATCCGTCATTTAATCCACTGCGTGAACGAAGAAACGACCTCTAAATACACTGGTCTAACTGTAAACCTGCCCTGTGGTGCTACGCTACATGAATAACGTTTCCTACTGATACTGCGGCTACAGA